TGGCGCGCGAGGAGGCGCGGCGCGCGCGCGCGCGTTCGCGCAGGAAAATTCATACAAGGAACCAGTAGTCTTCGGCTTCGGGGACCCGAGCACGAGCGGCGCGGGCAGGGCGCGCGAGCCTGAGCTCGAGCACGAGCGCTCTCTCCGCATTGGCTCCTATCAGAAATAGGTGGGGCTGAGGAGCTTCCCCATTGGCCTGAACGGGACGGCCGGGGCGGGGCAGTTAGCATATTAGGCTGCGCGTTCGCTTTTGCGAGAGGGCGGGGCCAGAGGTTTCGTTTAGTTGTCCCTGCAGCTGGGGAAGGTAAAGCGGCGACGGCGGCTTCAGGAGCTGTGGGTTCCCCGGCTGGGAGCTGGGGGCTCGCGGGGTGAGTAGTCGCGCCGACACCCTTCTGTCAGGCCTTCTTGCCTTCGGCCCTGCCGCCCACCCAGTTTCTCCCTAGGGAGGGGACCCACCTGGTTCCCCGGGCAGACTTGAGAAGGGGCGGCGGCGCGGGTACCCCCGGAACTGGGCGACGCGGCGAGGGCGCCCCAGCCTGGAGTGACCCCCCCTTGAAGCGCCCCATTGCGCCGCTGGAAGGGTTTCCCCGCTGCGGGGCTAGGGCTGTATTTTGGGGTGTGGGAATATGAGAGGGTATGAGGAGGGGCGGCGGGTCAAGGCCGCCCGGCGGGGCTCCCCTTAGCGGTGGGTCTGCGGCGTTCCCGCCGCCCCCGCGGCGCTAGCTCCCTCGGGCTTGCGGCGAGGGAAGCCCCTTCCCGCCGGGGAGGAGTCTTTGCACCGGAGCCCCCCTCCCGAGTTCCGAAAGAGCCCGGGACCCACCGAGGGCTTAGAGTCGCGGCCCTGGCCCAGCTGACCTTGGCTTCCCGCGAGGGTGGTCGAGAGACCCACCGCTTGCCCCGCGGCTCCTCCAGCCTCTCCCGAACAAGTTTCAGGCGTTGCAATGAAGTTCAAGACTGGCATAGTGAGGAGGAGCAAAATTGGCCCTTTCCCAGACGTTCGTACCCTTTGTACCCTCATAGAAATCAAATCCTGGGCTTTGGAACCATCTCGCAGAACGAACAGGTTCTGTTCGCATTGACTCGTTTTGTGCCCACGTTGGGGAAAAAAATAACCCGAACATATTTCAGTGTAAAGGCAGATCTTCCTTGAGGGTTTTGTTTTTCGCTTCACTTGAGTGCTAAAGCACAGATGTCTGAATAAGAAAAACCTGACCTTAGTTTCTTAGATTAGACGGATGCAGTGATATTTAAGTAGTTGCATATCCATGTTCTGTTTAACACAATCTACTTTAATTGGCTGAAATTTAAGCTGATTTTAGAAAGTATCGCAGACACGGAATAATTTTTTCCCGTGCATCTGAATTAGGTTGGTTTGGACGTAACGGTTATGTTGTTAATGTGAAAGATTACACAAATTAATTTGAGAGCATTTGACTGAAACAGGAGACATAAATATGTACAGAATAGGATTATCGTTTTAGGTAACATCTGCTGGAACATTTCCAGCTTGTTCCTGTCTTGCCTTTAGGGTTACAAAAAAGGCATCTTTATCGAGGTTATTCTGAATTATGTGAATGACATTTAGATGTAAATTTGTTTTTAATTCTTTTAAGGGTTTTCAAATGTTTTATAAAATGTATAGAAGCTATGTTTACTTGTCTCTGATATTGAAGCGGGGGTAGTATCTTTAACCCAATTAGGGTTCATTAATAATAAATTTTTTAAAGAGTGTACATCTTTTTGAGGACATGATAGTTGAGTACCTTAGCGATTGTTAATTTCTTTATTAAAAGTACTATTTTGGGTTTGAGCATTTTTGGCGTTGACATTGGAACAGGAGTAAGGAAGCCTGCAGCAGTATTACCAGTTTGACACCACCAGTGGGTGTTTCTGTTGACAAATGCAGAGAAGAGAACATTTGGGAAGGAAATCTTTTTTTTTTTTTTTTTTTTTTCGGGGGCGGGGGGTGAAGGGGGAAGGAGCCAGAAGAGAGAAGCCGTAGAACTAAAGCTGCCAGCACAGTGTATGCTGAGCATTTCACAAGTACATGGAAACCTAATTAGGATAAAAAAAAATCCAGTTTGGTTGTATTAAATAATAGAACTCCACAAGAGGCATGCTAAATAAAGTTAATCATTTCTAGAGCGTTAAATAATCTATTTCAGAGGCGTTGGAGAGTCTTCAGTTGGAGAGTGTCAAATCCTTGAATTGTCTTGCTTTTTTAAAACATAATGCAACACTTAATTTGATATATATGTATATATGTTTAGTATTCTAATTCTGCTTATTTAGCATGTTTCCTAAGCGTAATTGTTTTAAAAACAAAACTTGGTATATTTTTTAAAATAATTAGAAATAAGCATTCTTTCTCTAGAGAGGATTACTTTTTTCGTGCTCAGATTTGTAATTTATTCATGACTTTGGGGCTTGTGGTAGGAATGGATTTTTTTACCCCTTTATCTCAGGTTTTTGATGTTTACTTATGCAAGTTCCCTGGACGGAATCTGCCATTATTTTCATTGTAATTTTCTTGGAGTTATTTAAACTAGAGTGTGGCATCTACCGTATTCCCTGGGGTTTCAAAATAAAAGGCTCCTATTGAGGGAAATTGCAGGGCCATCTCGCATAGATGAGTAATAGAAGGTTGACTGATTGCGAATCAGATATATTCTGTTCCAAATATGCTGCATGGGGTTAAAGCAGTCTCATTTAATGAGAACCAGATTTTAGGTGGTATTTCTACTTTGAAGGTGCTGTATTGTTAACATTACAAAGTGAAATACAGAGGTGGAGAAATTACTTCAAGTATGTCCCCCACCACCCACCTCCGACCAGCCTTGTTTCTCCACTGTGTCCAAGAATCTGAGAGACTCAACAATGGTTGCATTGTTGGAAATGACAGTGGCTTCTGTTGCAGGAATTTAACCTTTCATTATGATTTATGCTTCAATTTATTTTGTGATAGAAAATTCAGCTATATCTGAAAATATGGCTGTAGGAAATTTTAAGGAGGTAAGCAGAGAAAATAAGCCTTCAGCGTGCCTGTTAAAAGTTTACCTTTTTTCCCCTTCCATTTTGATAACTTTGATGGTTATCTCCTTTATTTTCTCCAGATAATAGAAGGTACGCTAATATGGTAGTTTGTTTTTGGCAGTTAGTTGGGGATATGACTTTTTCATGTAATAAATTGATGTCAAATAATAACAGAAGACATTTGAGAACAAATGGAATTCACATGCACAGATCCAAAATGAGAGGGAAGTCCTTTAGGTAACCCTTAACTTGGGTACAAGAACAGCAAAATTGGAAGTATTAAGTTGCTAGGTAGAAAAGGCTGTTTACTCAGCATTTGATAATTTTAGATTCTAAAGTTTAATTTATTGGCAACACCAAATTTCTTGCTAGAGGAGGAGAAAAAATCTCAAAGAATCTAAAAGATTATCATCTGGTGATGGTGTCAGTTGGATCACATTTCAACTTAAGAAAACGATGCAATTAAAAGACTACATTTGAACTTTCAGTTTGGGAGGCTTTTCCAATTTACTTTCTATCTTAAACTCAACGTTAGAAATTTTTTGTTGGCAATGCATCGCTTTAGTGTTTGGATTCAAATTCTTGATCGTTTCTAGAATGTTTCCTTTATATAGAGCGGTGCACGGATGACTGAATTACACAAAGGTCTGGCCTATTTCTCGTTCAAGTTTTTGTATACTTCTTAATACTGAGAAAGGAACTTGGGTGCGATTATGTTGGTGGGTATGAAAGCCAAGAGTGAGGACCTCCTACCCGAAGAGACTGATAACATTTAGACAATTCAGATTTGGGAATTAACAGAAAATTATTACATTAAAGGGAGCAAGCCCATTCAGGTCTTTGAGACTGATTGTCAGCACTTTGAATTAAGTAAGCTCTTTATGTATTTAGAAATATTTTTTGTTCGAGATAGTTCTATTAGGGTCAAGTTTTGGGTGTTGTCTCTCTTTGGGGCAATCTTCTCTATAATAATTATTATCTATTTATTGAGCCTTACTGAATACCAGATACTATGGCAAATAACTTATTTGCATGGATATATGTGCATACATGTGTTGTACGAAGTAGGTGTTTTTCTTAATTCCTGTGTACACTTGGCCAGATGGGCTCAGAGAGAGAAAATAATTTGTCCAGATTACCCAGCTAGTCAGCAGCAGAGGCAAAACTTCCATCCAAACCGGTCTAACTTGAACCTGTGCTCTTCAAAACCGAGCTTCTGCTTCTCTTTAGGAATCTGATTCCGTTCCTGGGGTGGTACTAGAGGTAAAAATGTGCCTCCTACAGTTCACAGGCTACACTGGCCGCCTAACCTTTAGTCACGTGGGAGATGGACTCAGATTCATCAGCACTGCTAGATAGGACAACTGGAAGTGCAGACTTCTCTAACAGGGTCATTAGTTTCCTCATAAACGAAGGTTGTACCTAATTATTTACACCCCAAAATGAGTAGCTGTTTCTAATGATCCACTTGGTATTTCATATTTTTGCAAGTTCCATTATAACTTTTGACTGATTTCGATTAAATTTGCTACACTAATAAAGGCTATGAAGATATTCTTTGAATTCAATTTTGTGATTTGATGAACTCTTGAAGTAAAATGGCAGCCATTACAACTTGCAGATGGTATCTCTTCTGTAAATGTAATGACCTAAGCGAAATGAAATCTGGAGGTAAAGTCTGCAGAGGTATGTTAGTTGCTTATTAATACATAGAAATTGGACTCTGACAAAAATTCTTCTACTTGAGAGTAGAGTTCTCTGCTACTTAAAGCCTCTTGTGATTGTGTGTGTGTGTGTGTGTGTGTTTAAACAAGACCCATCTCTAAGAGAGCCAAGCCATTGCTTAGCCGAAAGGAATTCTCAGAAGTCTGTGTTAGGGAGGGAAAAGACTTAATATTTTATTCAGAAATTGATGAGAATCACTTTTGTCACTTATTAGAGTTAGAAAGGAGTGATGAATATCGTAAGAACTTAGGGCCAGAAATCAACTGGCCGAAGTAGGACAGTTATTCTACAAAGGTGGGACGGACCTACACATAAATAGTTCTTGTGGATTTATCAGGTACAGGTTTTCAGTATGCATTTTTAACAGCTTTATCGAGGTGTACTTTACATACTATAAAATTCACCTGTTTTAAGTGTACCATTTAATGATTTTTTTGTAGTAAATTTATGCAGTTGTATAGCCATCACTACGAACCAATTTTAGAATGTTTCCATCACCACAAAAAGATCCCTCCTGCCAACATGCATTTTTTTACCTTCCTTACTTGCTTCTACCTAGATCCCTTTAACATCAGATACCGATAAATCATGTAGACCTTAACAAGATACC